GCTGTGGGATGTTCTGTATGGCAAATGTATTGCTCTGATTGGTCAATAAATAAAACACTGATTGGCCAGTGGCTAGGCAGGAAATATAGGCGGGATTAACAGAGAGGAGAAAAGAAAGAACAGGAAGGCAGAAGGAGTCACTGCCAGCCGCCACCAGGACAAGCAGCATATGAAGATGCCGGTAAGCCACAAGCCATGTGGCAAGGTATAGATTTATGGAAATGGATTAATTTAAGCTATAAGAACAGTTAGCAAGAAGCCTGCCACGGCCATACAGTTTGCAAGCAATATAAGTCTCTGTGTTTACTTGGTTGGGTCTGAGCGGCTGTGGGACTGGCGGGTGACAGAGATTTGTCCTGACTGTGGGCCAGGCAGGAAAACTCTAGCTACACTTACGGATTACAGAAGCAGAGAAATTCCATAGTCTTCCCTATGTAAGCTGTAGATACAAAGAAGCAATGTAGCTCCCACAGAGTGTAGGTTCCAGTCTTGTTATAAATCAGTTGTTTACCTTAAGTTATCTGGCAAAGAGTAAATTCAGCTTTCACTATCTTTTTGTTCTTTGAGGCCCTCAGAAGATTTAATGATGTTGCCCATCTTGGAGAAGATATGCTTTCTTAGGCTATGAATGAAAATTCTAAGCATTATCAGAAATACTCCTACAGATCCACCCGGAACACTGCTTACTAACTATGTGGTCTTTTGTTAACCTAGGTAACATGATGCACAAATCAATCATTATGCAAGATAAGGCTAAATAAAAGTACTAATTTGCAACACACATCATAGAGTTTTTGTTGTTTCTGTTTTTTTTTTTTAATACCAGTCAAATGATTGAGAAGCAAGTGTGATCAGGGTACATTATATGAAATTCCCAAATACTCAACAAATATTTTGTTGGGAAAAAAAATCCTAGTGACTAAGAGTGAGAAACTATGTGTCCACTTGCGTTTGTGCTGTGGACTCTGTCAAACCTTGAACCAGGATTTTATGAGATAGAATGTGGAGCTGAAGAACATTTTTTTAAACTTCATAGCTTTGAATTTAATCTAAACAGACTATATACTTCTGTTTCCCACGATTCTTTCCCTGAGGCTTCTCTGGATTTTTTCCTCATAGTTTAATGAATTTTATATTGCTTAAAAGAACATCCTTCATATCTCTCTTGCTCTGACTTTGTGTAAAATCATTAAAGCTGTAGGACTTCTTTGTAATTTTCAAAGTTTCCACTCCACCACAACCCCCTTTTATCCCTCTTATTACTACACCACTGAGCTTCAAGGTCACCCTCTTTTAACTGATGCCAGAGAACAGTTTGGCCAAGGTCTTTTTCTTTATGTTTCAATGTAATCTGACTTGTTCTTTCTTTCTTTCTTTCTTTCTTTCTTTCTTTCTTTCTTTCTTTCTTTCTTTCTTTCTTTCTTTCTTTCTTTCTTTCTTTCTTTTTTTTTCTTTCTTTCTTTCTTTTCCTCTCTCTCTCTCTCTCTCTTTCTCTTTCTCTTACACACATACACACACACACAGACAAATACATACTTGTCTTTTTCACAGATCACCATAATCACTTTTATACAACTTCATTTTAAAATGTCTGTGGAAAATTAATATACATATAAAATTTTGTAATTACATGAAATAATTATAATTGTGGTTAATTATCAATAATACCACATAGGAAATTTAAAAGTCTTATAAATAGATTCATTGACTGTCTGACTCACATTTGACATTTACATGGCTTCAGCTTGAGTCAATATAGTTTGGATCTTTAGAGTATAGGCTTTTGGTTATAAAATTGCATCGGTTCCAATCTTAGCTTTAACATTTGTTGATTGTTCAACCTTCAGCTCCCTTTCCCTCATCTGTTCGATGGATATAATAATATCTGTACTAAATGGCTGTTTTGAGCAGTAAGTGAAGTTATTTGGCATTTGGCAATGAGTAGACAGTCAACAACTATTACCATATTAAAAAGAATCTACAGACTGGTTATAAACAGTAAATAATTAAAACAAAATTTGAACTGAGCAAAGATTTAGGAATGTGTAATGCTTTCTATAACTTGAAATGTTAAGAGAGTAAATTTTTAACATATCTTTTCTATTCTACTCTCTATCTGGGGATAGCAGTAAAAATAGATGGTGAGAGCCAGATCTCTGTATAAAGAAATCTAGTATTTGGGTAATTTTATTGGCAAATTCAAGAAATCTGTCAGAGACTGGAGATTTTAAGGTGCTCTCCTTGTGATTATAAACACGTGTATGAAAGTGCATGCTTGCATATGCATAGCTATGTGTGTAGTATTTTCTGCAAATGATCCAACCTCAAAGGCTAAGATCACTGAAAAAGGGAAAACAATGAATATTTTAAAATATTCATTATTTATAATTTTAAGTATATGTGTGTGTGAACCTTTGTGAGGTTGTGCACCATGAATTTTCAAGAATCCTCAAGGAAGAGAAGAATGGGTTGAATCCCTTGGAGCTGGAGGTGCAGGTGTTTGTGAGCTGCTACATTGAACTTGAGTCCTCTGTAAGAGAAGCAGTCTCTCTAGTCCCATCCAAAGGATACAGTTTTCAAAACTAGTGAAAATACAAAATATTCTTGTGCAAAAAGGGAAGAAAGAGAACCAGGCACATTTTAATTTAGAATGATACTTTTTGCTCCAGTGGATTTCAAATATGAAATTGAAGGGATTTGGGGTATGAAATTAATAGACAAATTAATTAAATATGTAGTTTCAGTCCAGTCATGAATAAATAATAGCCTAAAAGGACTACTGAAAATGGAATCACTACTTTATTTTCCTTGGAGTTTTCAGAGTTGAAAATGCTTTTAAATCTTCAAAGAAAATGCCCCAAATTGGAGGTAAGCACAATTAAATAATCAATCTGACATATAGAATTTCTAAAAACAAAAACATTAAAAAGTGAGGAAAGTAAGATAGTAAGCAGTTGTGTGTGTGTGTGTGTGTGTGTGTGTGTGTGTGTGTGTGTGTGTGTGTGTGCATGAGCATGTACGTGTGCATATGTGTTGGGTATATGTGCACAAGTGGGTGCATTCATATGAAGGCCAGAGGTCAATGTCAGATGTTTTCCTCCTTTGTTCTCTACTTTATTTTCGATATAAGATCTCTAACTAAACCCCAAATTCACTAAGTTAGCTGGACTGGCTGGCCAGCCAGAACAATTATTTTTTCCCTGCCATGTTGGAATTACAGATGCACACTACACATAGTACTTTACATTAGTGCCTGGGATCTGACCTCATGGCTCACACTTGCACAAGAAGTAGTTTACCAACTGAGCCCTCTTCCAAGACTCATGACTTTTTAAATTGTTGGTTTTTCATTTTTGGTTAGATAAAATAAATGAAAAGTCCAAAGTGACTGACTGTTGGATATACAAATGTTAAAAAGAAAATTAAATAGATTGTACATATATGTACAAATTAAAACACTCAAAATATAATCAGTATAAAATTTATTTAGGTTTGCGTTCATAGGTTCCAAAAATTTGCTACATATAATTTTTTATTGCCTTCTAGCAGAAATAGTATTTTGCAAATGTAGGCTGAATTACTTAGTATTTTACTTATTCAGTGGTTGCTTAAAACCACATTAAATCTTGTAGTAGGATCAGTTAGAGAAAACTGAATGTTTTTCATTTTTATGTATTCTATTTTAATGGGAGTATATAAATTTATTCAAGATCTATGAGTGATAAATATGACACACAGGAAAATCCATGTATAAATGCCAGATTTGGAAAGCAGCAGATTTTTAGTGGTCTTGTCAAATTATGCAGTTGATCAGTTTTGATGCTGAGCTCACACATAATATATTTTTCTACAAAGGAGTCACATACAGCATTTCATACCACTAGCATAGAATAACATCCCAACTCTCACTTGAAAAACCCTCTCCCTAAGCCACAAAGCAGAAAAAGCAAAATGAAATGACTCTGACCAGAGTCATTTGCCTTCATAGCTCAGGACACTTTGATGCTTTAGGCCTTCCTGGGTATGCTCAGAGCAGAGGTCTTGATGTCAAACATGTTTTTTAACCCATATGGATATCCTTGGTGAAATCATTGGCTTTGAAGATGAGAGTAAGGTAATGTTAAATTTTAAAAGGACCATCCAAAGAAATTAAAAAATACAAACTTAATAGGTTATGTTGCTTTATATTTTGCAGAATAGACAAGTTTTAAAAATTCTGAATATGTAAGAGCCTTCATATCATTCTGAAGGTTTGCTTTAGAGTCTTGGGTCTTCTTGTTAACATTTTAACTCATTGTCCAATGTGTGAGTATGTCCAAGGAAATCTCCAAATCTCCAAATGTCTCCCATCCCCTTACTTCTTAATAAAGCTGAACACTCCAGTCAAGTGCAAACACCCCACCATAGAAGAGAACTATGGAGCTCGGTAGCTGTTTAGACTTGCACTTGTCTGCCATGGATAACATAACTTTTATAAACTCCCATTGCCGTTTTCTGATACCATTTCCCCTACCCTGATAGAGTCTGGTTTCAAGTATAACAAGACATATATTTGATCATTTATCTTATTTAATTTTGAATAGTCACTTTGGTCACCCATACTAGATACTCTTCTAGTGTCTAGAAGTCAGACAGTTGCTTTTTTAATACTTTATGATGAAGACCAAGAGCACTGTATATACTTAGGCAATGCAGCAATGTGGCCCTGGGGAGTTTAGTTTCCAAACAGCCTTCATTTAATAGAAAGATGATCTCAAAATCCAGCTTATTAAACTATGACCATCTTACTTTTACTCAAAATAATATGAAACTAGCCTTAAGATATTTGTAAAGTAATAGGAAAACACACTCTGATATTAGATAGGAGATAAATTTAAAAAATACATCAGTTTATTAACTCACACTGCCTCAAAATTTTCAATTAATTTTTTTGTTTTGAAGGTCCGAACATCAACATTACTATAAATGCCCCTACTTCTTAACTCCCCCATGCCACTTACTTGTTTGAGCTTCTTTAGATCTTCATCAAGTTCTAAGTTGTCCAAAATAACAGCAACAAACAAACTCAGGAGGATCTATAAAACGGTTAAATAACAATGAAAACACCCACACTCTATAGATATCAAAATTTCATATATAATAGAGAATATCTATCTAAAAGATATTTGATAAAGAATTTATCAGTTGAAAATTATAAATATGCACTATGAATCATTGCATAGACACTTTAAGGTGTTTGTCACAAACACAGGACAGGAAATATAAAAATTCACATAAATAATAAAAACATTAATTTATTTCAGGAAGGAAATTTAATAAGGAAGTTATAATTATTTTAATTTAAAAACATCTGAAACTAACCTAAGAAAAATATCTGAACTAATGATTAAAAGCTTAGTATGTAAAGGTGCTATAATGATGTAATCCTGGAAATGACATCTAAATTTTTATAAGTAGCTAATAAAATTACAGAGAACTCAATGATCAGGTTCATATTGATGTTAGAGATTTCCATGGTGGGAAGTAGTCTCAAAGGTGTCCCATAGTGTTGCTGTTAGCTGCAAATGATATGTGCTGTAGCCTCACACATTGAACATGGAACCAGAAGGTTACAGAAAAGAGGCAATAAAAGGCAATGTCATTTTTCCCTACTCTTTCTTGGGTCAGTGGTTCAGGTGGAAGCCAGATGTCAAGATGTCAGGGAAGCACTATGAAAAAGCCCTTCTTCTGATTAACTTAGACATCTTGCCTGCAGACAACAAGAAACCTTCCAACACTCTTGTGAGAGACTGTCTTGGAGGCAGATGCTCAAGTCTTCTAGGTGACCACAGCCCCAGACATCTTGATTGTAACCTAAGGAGACACTAAACTAGACCCAAGCAAGCCTGTTCCAGTTCCCAATTGAGAGACACTGTTCAAGACAATAAAGGTTTCTTTGTTAGTAACTTCCCAGCATGTGGATAATTTGTGATATAGCATTGAGTAACAACAACTCATGAGATTATTATGCAGAATTTAGTAGCTCACTCTGTCCTAGGTTTAATGAATGGAAAGCAGGGTGGGTGGTGAGGCTTTTTAGGAGATGACTGGCTTGGAACTAGTGTCACCATGCTTTCTTACTGTAGGAGATGATTGGCTTAAGACTGGTGCTACCATGCTTCCTTATTGTAGGAGATGATTGGCTTAGGACTGGTGTTACCATGCTTCCTTACTGTAGGAGATGATTAGCTTTGTAGTAGTGCCACCATGCTTCCTTACTGTAGCCTCATTTTTGAGGAGCCTAACAGAACTTGAACACAGTTCAGAGTGGTCCAGACCAGAGGCTTTTCCTGATGTCACCATGTCTGGCCCACCCATGTCTTTAGGTCAGGCTCACTTGTGAGTCACCATTGTTCTAAACTGGGCATCCCACAGTTTACTCCAAGCTTAGTTCCTTTCCTGTGATCTTGGTGATGAAAAGCCATGTCTGAGAGGAATCAACATTTCACTGTATCCTCATGCCAAGATCTGAGATATCTCCTGAAGTCTCCCAATAGTAAGAGATGTTTCACAGTTATGGCGGTAGGTACTTTAACAGGCCTTATTTCATATCTTGATTCAGCTGGGTCTCCTGTCTCCCCAGGAAACCTATAAACACATATCTAAAAGGGAAAAAAGTCCTTGATGGTGGTGGTGGTGTTGGTGTTGGTGGGGTCTATTCCTCTCATTTTCTTAAACAATTCCTTTAGAAAACAAATTCTGTTTTAAAAAAATTTAAACAGAATTCTTTATTGATGCTTTGGAAATTTCACATCTTGCAACCCAATCCTGCTTACCTCTCAGTCCCTGTATATCCACCTCTAACCCTGAAGTATTCCCCCCCAATTAATTAAAAACAAATGAACAAACAAAAGCCCCCCTCACTCCTCTTCTCTTTCAAACACCTCTTCATTCATCTTAGTGGCACTGGAAGCTATCAAGCAGTATACCCCTTCTGACCAATCAGCCTCACCTGAAAAACATGCATTGCTACGGGTCCTTGGTCTGGTTCAAGGCCTCTGAATTCTGACACAGGATCATTACTAGGTTCTCATGGAAACTCCTCTCGGATATCCTGTTCTTGCCCCAAGTCATGGAGATCCTGTGGTTAACATTCTGTGGGAACAGCCCCTTCACTCACTCCAGCAGAGGCAGCTATTAGGGTGGGCCAACCCAAGGTCCAGGATGTGGGTCTGGGTGGTAGCTGAGTTGGTCGGTCCTGGCCACTGGGACCACCTCCCTCAGGCTAGGGGGAGAGTCATCCCAGGGCTGTGCTGAGCCATTCCTGTCCCTCAGTGTCCCGGGGATAGCTGGCCCTGATTGCTGCTGGACAATGCCACAGGGGAGCTGGTATTCCTTCCCCCCCACTTCATGAAAGAGCTGACCTGAGCACTGGGAGAGATGTCCCCACCCCTTACCACAAGTGTGGGAGAGCTGGCTCAGAAGGAATGGGCCTAGGAGAAAATATGTTCTTGCCTGCACGTTCTTCACATTATTTTTGAGCTGTGTACACATAAAGTTACCTCAGACTCTTACTCCTTTATTACCCAGGAAATGTTTTCCTAAGGACCTGAGAGCTGTATCTTTGAAATATAAACAACCACCAAGGACCTCAGGCTTCTGTCCTGGTGGGAGAACTGGAATCTACATAGGAATCCTGTTTCAAGCTATAAAATGATTTGTCCTGGAGATAGGCAACTCTATTGTCTCTCTGGACATAGACAATCAGCACCACCTTGACAGCTACCAGGTAAAATTGAGATGAACTGTATTTACCAAATAGCACTGTTGAATTTTCTTGAACATTTCCTATTTCTGTTACTGGAACATGTTTGTGGTGTTGTGGTGTAGAGGGTGGCATTTCTTTCTGCCTTTGCTGTGCCTTCTAGGTCACCTGACATTCCCACCATGGCTTTGGTTCAGTGCTTCTTCAAGAATAAAACTGTTTTGTTTTTTCTCTCTACCACCTTTATGGAGAGGTTGGCAGCTTAGCAGATTTTACTTTTAATTATTTCTCTAGCACTAGCCAGATGCAGGGCTATTGAAGGACAGTGAGGTTACTCTATTAGATTAATTTTGATAAAAAGTTCAAGGGATTCCAGGAATGTATCAGGCACAGTCTAATTGGGACTTGGATTCAATATTGCTCTTACAGTGGAGTTTACAATTGAATGGAGCAGGCATAGAGAGCACCTACATAGGCAAGAGCACTGTGGTTCAGGTGAGACCTGGGTTCAGAAACAGGTGTTATCTTATTCTGGGTCAATCACTGCCCATGGAGGTTACTGTGCCGTTATTTGTAAGATGTTATGGCTATAATAGCAAGCTATTATTATTATTATTATTATTATTATTATTATTATTGCAGCTACCATTTCCCTCTATTTAACTCTCTACCAAGAAATTAGATGAGTGATCTAGACTAAAAATATATAGATATGTGAAAATAAACTCTCTTGGTTTTTCTATAAGTAAATTTAATGAGATAATAGTGTTTTCATTTCTGTTGATGGCTGAAAATGTAGTATTGTTCTACCAATGCAACTCAGTTCTTGGGGTCTGTTATGTTAGAATATATGCTTAATTTCTTCAGGAGTGGTCTAAGGTCAAACATAGGTGAATCACCCGGCGTCTGATCCATTATGAAATAGATAAGGCATTCTTCATCTCCCATGGGGAGTATTGGTGATACTTTTTTGCAGAGGTGGGGGATCTGGGCTTTTGATCTGCCAATGTGGCCACCATCTCAGCTACAGAAGCTTAGATTGAGTTTTGATTCCCAGTGACATCTTCTGTGTGGCTTCTCAGAGGTGCTGAGGCAAAATACATACATTTGGTGCCTTCCACTTGGACATTTATTCTATCATCATCCTAGAGGCCAGGGGTCTAAAAGCTACCTGTCAGCAGGACCATAAGTTTTCCAGTACCTGTAGGAAAGAATTCTTCTTTGCCTCTTGCAGCTTCTGATGTCCCCAGGTAGTCAGTCACTGGCTTTTCTTAGAGCATAGTATCAATCTTCAACTCCATCTCATCATGGCCTCTCTTTCTCCCCAAGTGTTATCCTCTTCAGTTTCCCATAAAAATATTTTTTAGTGGATTTGGGATCCATCCAGATAACTCAGGATGATTTTATTCAACATTATTAACTTAGTTATACCTGCAAAGTCTCCTTTTCCAAAAATTTGAGTGTGTTTGCTTTTATTTCTTATTTTTTTTAGGGAATATAATTCATATACTTCAAACCAGCTCATCAGAGTATGAATTAGACAGTAGAAAGAGCAGGTTGACAAGAAGTGATCATGGGCCATACTGACTCTTAACTCTCAGGATAGTTTAGAAGTTCTGCCATTCTTGGGAAATCAACATGGACTTGTTCTTTGAGGGTATCTCAGAAATTGTCTCTATCTAGACCTCCTAAGATTCTAATGCTGCCCAGCTGCTGATGACCCATGTGTGACCCTTAACAATCTTTCCCTTTAAGCTCAGGCAAAATGTGCAGCTAGGTCTTGGCTATCCAAACATGCTAATGCCAACACTGTTATCGCCTTTGATTGGGTGTACAGCTTTCCAAGGCAACACTTCTCTTCTTTCCTCTGTCACAGAGAAAATCATCTTTTCCCTAAAATAATTCAGGCTGAAATCTGTAACTGTAACAGAAGGGGAGTATGTGGCTGCACAAGGCTGAAGACTGACACCAGAGACTAAGGGTTGGTTATTTGCATACCATAAATTTAATGCTGTATCAGCTGAACATGTTGGTTTCTGAGAGCCTATTGGGATGGATGAGTCAAGGACATCTTAGTTAATGTGAGGCAATGAGGAGGGCCCCAAGGATGCACTCAGAGTCACTGAGATACCAACCTGACTTTGACAGGAAAAGAAATACGAGAAAGCCATTCCTCGAGGCTTGAGGCTGGAGAGCATATGGCTTACTCTGGAGGAGTTGAGTGGGTGAGTCCAGCCAGAACTCACCTTCCAAGGATGCTGGGGAGGAGTGAATAGAATCTGGGATGTGGCTGGCAATCCCATCAGTGCCACATGCTGAGGTTAGGGAATG